TTCAAACGCTCCACAGTCATCCTGGTCCCAAAAAACCCTCCATCTCTGGACTAAATGACTACAGGCCCGTCGCCCTGACATCTGTAGTCATGAAGTCCTTTGAAAGACTGGTGTTGGCCCACCTGAAGGACATTACAGGCCCCTGCTGGACCCCCTGCAGTTTGCCTACAGTGGATGATGCTGTCAACTTGGGTCTGCATTACAACACTCTCCAGGGACATATGCAAGGATCCTGTTTTTGGACTTCAGCTTGGCGTTCAACACCACCATCCCGGACATCCTTAGCACCAAACTCACCCAGCTCACTGTGCCAGCCTCCACCTGTCAGTGGATCACAGACTTCCTGACTGACAGGAGTCAGCAGGTGCGGCTGGGAAACATCACATCCAGCACCCGGACTGTCAGCACTGGCGCCCCCCAGGTGTGTGTGCTCTCCCCACTGTTCTTCTCCCTCTACACCAACGACTGCACCTCAAGAGACCCATCTGTCAAACTCCTGAAGTTCGCTGACAACACAACGGTCATCGGCCTCATCCGGGACGGTGATGCGTCGGCCTGCAGACAGGAGGTTGATCAGCTAGCTCTCTGGTGCGTCCAGAACAACCTGGAGCTTAACACGCTCAAAACTGTGGAGATGATCGTGGATTTCAGGAGGATCCCCCCCACTCTGCCCCCCAACACCATACTCAACAGCCCTGTGTCTGCTGTGGAATCCTTCAGGTTTCTGGGTTCCACTATATCCCAGGACCTGAAATGGGAGCCCAACACTGACACCATCATCAAGTAGGCCCAGCAGAGGATGTACTTCCTGTGTCAGCTCAGGAAGCGCAACCTGCCTAAGGAGCTGCTGATCCAGTTCTACACAGCCATCATCCAGTCTGTCCTCTGCACCTCCATCACTGTCTGGTTTGGATCTGCCACCAAAAAGGACAGGAGCAGACTACAACGTACAGTCAGGACTGCAGAAAAAATCATCGGTGCCAACCTGCCCTCCATGGCGGTTGGCAACCAGCATTTAGGAGCATTACCGCCACCTACCGGACTGGAGTGTGGAACAGACTAACATAAAAAGCAAATAAACAAATGAAACAAAAACAAACAAACAAAAAAATTAAAAAATTTAAATTGAAAAGCTATATCCTTTCCATTAATCCCGTATCTTTCAGATATTTAATGAGGTGCTTAGATATTCCCCATGCTTTATCCCCAAGGAGGTTCTCGACAGTGAACTTAAGCTTAGCTTTCTCTACAACTGCTGCTATTTTCCTCCTCGCCTCCACATAGCCTCTACACTCAACCAGCACATGTTGAATGGTCTCTATACCATTACACGCACATTACATTAGACAGGTAATGACTGTCTCTGTCTTCCGTCACCCACCCAGTTTTCTTCCCAGACCAACATGTTTCTGTATGCTAGCCAGAGATCTTCCCCGGGACACATCCTTAACAAACGGGGTGTGTGTGTGTGAATGTGTGTGTGTGTGTGTGTGTGTGTGTGTGTGTGCGCGGGCGTGCGTATATCAAGCGGGAAGCTTCCGGTCGACAATATGAAGCCGATGCGGAAGTCCCTGAAACCTGCATTCTATTGAAACTCCAGCAGGGGGCGACTCTTCTGGTTGCAAAAAGAAGTCTGGCTCCATTCAGGACTTATACATTTCCAGAGTCAGGAAACGAGCAGGAAACATCACTGCAGATCCATCTCACCCCGGACACAACCTGTTCCAGCTCCTCCCCTCTGGTAGGCGCTACAGAGCACTGCACGCCAAAACCACCAGACTCAGAAGCAGTTTCTTCCCACAAGCCGTCACTCTGATGAACAGCTGATTTCTGACTCACTCTGTCAGGAACAATTCCTGTGCAATAACCCAGTAACTCTGCCTCTAATCAGCACCCATTTACTGGTTTCCACTTATTATTTATTTTTTCACCATTCTCTATTTCAGTGCTGTTCATACTATGTCATATATACTGTATACCAGTACACCTACCTTAGGTCATAAGGTCATAGGTCTTATTTATTTTTTCCAGCATCCTTTGCACTATGTTCCATCACACTGTGTACATGTGTACATGTATGCATGTATGTGTACCTGTATATCATATCCACCTTCAACATGTACATAATGAGAATAATAGTTTAAGCTTGCATCCTTTGCTCTCTGCACTGCACTGCACTATTTGTGAATATGTCTATATTGTTTTGTGTGTATGTTAGTGTTGTCTATACTGTAGTTGTGTCTGATTTTATTTTATTATTATTTTATCATTGTGTTATGGTATTTTTGTACGAGTAAGCACATCGTGAGCAATGAACAATCCTGAGTCAAATTCCTCATATGTGTACACATACCTGGCAATAAAACTGATTCTGATTCTGAAGGTGGGGCTGCAATTGTATTGTCCAGCAACCCCAGTCTAAATAAGTTGTGTTTTTATACTAGTAATTTGCAACAGAAAATTTGTTTTGGAGGCAAGGTAATGCCAACCAGAAACTTCTTTTATCAACACAATGAGGAAATATTGTGAACTTTTGCTTCTGACATTGCATCTGCAAAATGTTACTGACATACTAACATACTTCATATGTATTCCTCCAGTATTTAATTATCCAGGCTATTGCAGGAGCGTCTGTATCTGTAGACTGGTGTAGGTACCAGATGTGCAGGGGGGCAAGCCAGAGTTGGAACAGTGAAGCCGACCAAAGCCTGCATGGAGGGTTCCATGGTGCCAACAGGAAGTTGGAACAAATAATCTTAAAGTAAATAACATTTAAAATTTGGTGGCAGAACCCTTGCTTGCAATAACTGTCTCAAGTCTGCGACCCATCGACATCACCAAACTGTTGCATTCTTCATTTGTGATGCTATTCCAGGCTTTTACCGCAGCTTCTTTCAGTTCTTGTTTGTTTCGGGGTGTTTCTCCCTTCAGTCTCCTCTTAAGGAGCTGAAATGCAGCTCTGTTGGGTTAAGGTCAGGTGATTGACTTGTCCTGCTGCATGATAAACTTCCTCCCCATTAGTTTCAATGCATTTCTCAGTAAATTGGCAGACAAAATGTTTCTGTCCACTTCTGAATTCATTCTGCTGCTCCCATCATCAGTTCCATCATCAGTAAATATTAATGAGCCTGTTCCAGAAGCAGCCATGCACGCCCAAGCCATGACATTACCTCCATCCTTCACAGATGAGCTTGGATGCTTCGGATCATAAGCAGTTCCTTTCTTTCTCCACACTTTGGCCTTTCCATCACTTTGCTAGAGATTAATCTTGGTCTCATCAGTCCATAAGATTGTGTTCCAGAACTTTTGCGGCTCATCTCTGTACTTCTTTGCGAATTTATAATCTGGCCTTCCGATTCTTCCTGCTGATGAGTGGTTTGCATCTTGTGGTGTGGCCTCTAGATTTCTGCTCTCTGAGTCTTCTTCCAACAGTGGATTGTGATACCTTCACCCTGCACCGTGGAGGTCGTTGCTGATGTCACTTCCTGATGTTTTGGGGGTTTTCTTCACAGCTCTCACCATATTTCTGTCATCAACTACTGTTGTTTCTCTTGGCCGACCTGTTGGACGTCTGTTGCTCAGTACACCAGTAGTTTCTTTCTTTTTCAGGACGTTCCAAATTGTTGTGCTTGCTATGTCCAATGTTTGTCCAACGGCTCTGCTCGATATTCCTTCTTTTCTCAGCTTGACAGCGGCTTGCTTTACTCCCATAGACAGCTCTCTGGTCTTCATGCTGGTTTATCCTCTTTAACAGGAAATGCAGTCTTTATAGGTTTGAACTAAGGATGAAAACTTCGACTAGTCATGCAGAGCTATTTAATGTTTAAACAATCAACCTAAAAGGCAACACCTGGGCAACAAGAAACATCTGTCAGTCACATGTTCCAATAGTTTTGCTCACTTGAAAAAATGGGTGGGTTCAAACAAAGGGTGCTATGTCCTGAGTTGTTTAACACATCTAGATGTGAATACCAGGAAATGAGAGCTGAAATTCTGAACTCTTGTCTCATACTCTTTGATCTTAAGCCCAAATGTCTTCAGTGAACAACAAAAACAAAGAATGTTTTTATTTTAAAAAATATATATAAACATAACAGAATATAATGCAGTGCAGCTCTCAGGCATTCTGTGTTGCTTTCAGATCTGTTTCTCTTGTAGATCCACTTTTCTCTTCCCTGCTGAGGCAGCACACATGCAGGCATGATTTAGACTTTCCTCCTCTTTTGTCGTGTTCACGGGGAGAGAACGGAAAACTTGTCCAAAAAGAAACTTTGTTGTTAGTTACTGATTGCTGATTGCACATTTTTTGTTTCATTTTATAATCAGTAGCTTGTTTTTGTTTTTTTAAGTTACTTTTTTTGGACAATGCACATTTGTTTCTTCTATATTTGAATTGCATTGCATGTTTTCTTATTGTGCAAATAAACCTTTCTAAAGGCATTTTCATTTGTTCTTTATCTGCAAGCTATATTTCAGAACGTTTTAAAAAAAAAAAAATTAATTTAGCTTTAAAAAAGAGATGGGGACAAAATCAGCCATTTCAAAAAGTATAGGGGACATGTCCACAGCATCCCCAGAGTAAATGACACCTATAGGTTCAGTGATTCATGTGGAAGCTAAATCTTCAAGCATTTAGTTTACACAGTAAATGTTTGAGTTTGTAAAGACATATGCAGACACTTGTATTTTTTTTGAATAGCATATTATTCCCTTTCCCTCATTTTCTGTGAAATAATGCCAAATTTGATGATTTTTTTTCTTCATATTTTGATTTAGATTCGTTCCCAATGCATTTGCGTGTATGAAAAAAAGCTTTTTTAAGGATTTGGGCCTTTAGTGACTTTTTTCAAGACACTGCTATTGTTTTAAACACAACTGTAAGTCGGCGAAAGGCAGCCGCAGTCATCTCGAACGCACCTTTTTTCTGCCGAGCTAGTGCTCCAGCTCAGCAGGTGGCAGTAATGCACCTGTTAGTGAATTTCCAAGCAGAAGAAAAAGGTTAATTTCCGGGATAAACAAGGACATGTGTTAAATAACTATCCTTGTGAATGTTGGTTTCTGAACACCTCTATGTCTGCCTGTGTTTTTGAATTACAGTAATAGTTAGTTGTAGTTTTATTTAACTGTTCCGTCCAGCGTTGCTTCATGGCGGCATCTGCTCATGTCTCCAAAGTCCGCTCCTTGTACAAGAAGATTCTGGTCCTGCATCGGTTCCTGCCGTTAGATTTAAGAGCCCTCGGTGACCAGTATGTGAAAGACGAGTTCAGAAGGCATAAAACTGCATCAACCGAAGAGGTGAAGAACTTCATGGCAGAGTGGGAGGTAAAACACTTCGCGCTCACTATCTCTGAATTAAAGCTGAATGTTGAGGAGGGCACCTTAACGTTACTGTTATAACGTGACAACATGCATCCAAACTTTTTACTAATTTTACAATAAATTTACACAAACTTCATGTTTTCCAACAGAATGTAGGCTCCAGCTTCATTTGGTTGATTTAGCGTTAGAGAATGGGGGGCAGAGAAATGAAAGCGCTGTGTGTTTATATCCCGCACTAACCACGAGATGTATCAAGGCATAGGCATAGGAACAAGGATGCATTAAAGGGGAAAATTTCTTGTTCAATTCAGTGTTATTGATAGGGTATTTAACACAAGTTATCTTAATGCACTTTTCATACAGAGCAGGTCTAGACTCTACTCTGACCTGTTGTCTCTATGTTCTCTAAGGAGGGCTGCAGCGCCAGTGTTATGTCAGTCCGTCACCACACGGTGGCAGAGCAGCTTCAGTAAACGGGAAGGGACTGCTGGAAGGAAATGGAAACTGTATTCAGATTTGAGTTAGAGTTTTCACCTATGCAGTCACTGAAAATCTTTCTGCTAGTAAACTGTTAGGGGGAGTAAGATCTCTGAAATTTAACTGGTGACTGACAAAGACCTCATGTTTGTCTGAGCCCCACCTGGCCTGTTAATAATGCTTTATTTGTCATAATTGCATTAGTTGTGTTTCTGTGTCTACCTCTGGTATGTCTGTGCTTCTGCTCCTTGTGTGAGATTAATGTTCGCCGACTAATAAAGTAAACTAAGTATGTGGTGACAAGTGATGCCAGGAGGGTCTGATGGGTCTGGCGGGTGGCAGCAGAGTTCGCTTGACAATGGGCAGAGGATTAAGCATTCTGCTGACACAGCATATGCTCATCTTTGACAAACAGGGGCAGCTTTTTCATAGTTAGTACTTAACATTTGCTTTATACTTACTTAATAATACACATACTTGGCTTTTGCATGAAAAGATGAATTAATACTGGTACAGCCATGGCCTAGGATCACTTTATAACAACAACAACAAAAGGGTCTTGTTTTCTGTGTTTCTTTGTGACAATGTTGTGTACATGGTTCATTTAGCTTAAAAAATAGCTGATTCTCTCACCCATCAACAAATCATTAATGAAAAATGGGAAGTTATGTATACATAAAGTAACTTGGAGACAAAGAAATGTACATTATGTTATCCTGCAGAGTGACATTACCTGTATTTTGTCAGTCAGGCCTCTTATGAGCAAACTGTTCAAATAGCAGAAATCCAAATACACTTGTATGGGATGTGGGAAGACTACTGTCAACACCAGTCACAAATCTATTATATTTAACCAACACATTCTCACTCCCAAATCATCACATATTGACGCTTGGTCAACACCCTTTGGCATCGCTTTTTAACTGCCTGGGTACCCTTTTACCAATGTATTTTAACATTTAGGGCTCCACTGTCAAGTTAGCAACAATAGCTACATATGCAACATCCGGTTAGACTAAAATAAAAATGGCCTTTTATTGTGACCAGCCTAAGGCACACCTGTGCAATACCCATGCTGTCTGATCAGCATCTCCAAATGCCACACCTGTGAGGTGGATGGATTATCTCGGCAAAGGAGAAGTGCTCACTGACACAGATTTAGACAGATTTGTGAACAATATTTGAGAGAAATAGGCCTTTTGTGTACATAGAGAAAGTCTTAGATCTTTGAGTTCAGCTCACGATGACTGGGGGCAAAAACAAAAGTGTTGCGTTTATAATTTTGTTCAGTGTATGTTATGTACATCAGTTAACTTACGTAAGTTAAGTAGCATTACTTGTATAACTTGTACAATTTAGGTGACTAATAAAAACATTTGTGTTTCACACAGGAAACTAACACCAGTCTCCTGTTTCTGCCCTCTATCCACCCCAACCGCCTCCTCACAGACTTTTCTGTTAAATATCCTACGCCTCCCTTTAGCCTCCATAAACAACGCTACAGGGCTTTCCCATGCGTTGAACCAGGACGCTATTTAAAGGGCTTCCCAGTGTGTTACAAACTAACGGCAAGGGCTCTTGACCATGCGTCCAAATGTGATGACTTGGAAGTGAGAACAGGTTGATTTAACCTGTGTGTGTTTTTTACACCCGTGGTCGCTGAGATAACAAACAGAAAAAATTGGCCATTTTCAGTTTGAGTGTATTCAAAGACTAGTGGCTGTAAAAATTTGAACAGTCATTAATATAAGCCGGACACCAGCCTCAGAAGACCGACCTGGCTTCATGTGCTGATAGGGGTCACTATTTCACACGTCCTCTAGTTCCCATAATGACATAAACCATGAGTATGCCTGGTCCAGCCTTTTTTTTATGGTCCCATGGGAGAGAGACAGTGTTTTCCCGAACAATTAGGCACTGCTTGGAGATGCTAAATCACCCATCTGCAGGTAATTTCTCTGATGAAGTAGATGGTGATTGCAGCTGGAATCACGAGAGGTCTCTTTGTCATTGTTGTAGCTGTGAAGCCACCGGGGAGGAGGTAGTCACTTTCATTATGCCTCCCTATATTAATATGTATTGTTTTCAAACCCAGAGTCCATCTGAATCGGTCCCAATCAGGGGACGAGGGGCTTTTGTCATATTTACCCACAGCTTTGGCTGCATTTGGAAACATTTCTAGGGAAAGTTAATTTGGCCAAAACCACTGGGAGGCATCCGTGCCTGGATTGGCTCAGAAATGTACAGAAACATGATAATAAGGTCCCTGTCTAATTGCTGTATCATCTAGCCAAACCCAAACAACTAAAAGCCAAAGTTGTCCACATTAAATTGGTGTGAAAAACACCTGAGCTAGACTGCTGGCCCAGAGCAGACAGATACTCTCTGGTAAGGGTTTTAATAGCTTTTTGTTTTAATGGACTCTGGTCTAAGGCCAAAAGAATGCGTTTGTAATTTTGATCGTGAGCTGATAAAAAGGGCTGCAGAAACAGTGGCAGCTATTGGTGGTTTAAGGGGGGAAATTAACATACTGGGGGAAAAAAACAAAAATCCAGCATAAAAATTTATTGATTTATACACAAATATGGAAAGTATGCCACATAGTTATTTTGTCTCATATGAATCATTAAGGGAATGTAAACCTCTCGTGTGTATTATTTATGTCCTCACTAACATCACTGTTGACTGTACTAACAGCCGTTTTGTAACGTCTGGCGGCATATTAGCATTCAAAGAAAATTATATTGATCGATATAGCTTTGTAAACAAAATACAGATAAACACTTGAAATGTAAAACTAACAAAGTGCACAGGAGTTGTAAACATTAACACTTGAACTCTACATTAATCAGGGAGCGGGAGTGTGTCCGCCATTACTCTCATTCTCAGCAGGCGTCCGCCGAGTCAGAGTATCTTATCTGAAAACAACAAAACACATTGTGAATCCTAAAAACATCTTAAACATAAGGGCTAATGATTTACTATGCTTATTTATTATTTATTTATCTTTTGTACACTGTACTGACCTATAAAACAGGAGAAATAATCAAGCAGAGGAAACTTGCTGCCATTCGTGCGGTCGCCAGAATGTCGAGGTTACGACAGCTGCGTCATCTAAACAGTCCCCATCAAGGCGAGCACTCTGCTGCCCCCTACTGTCAGTAGTGGTATACATGTTTGTAATACAGAAGCCTTGATGGACTTACTCGACTCACTTTTAAATGAATATAAACAGTGCTACAAAATATATTACATTAAATTAAACCAAAAATGTGACCATTAATTTTGTGTGAATCACATGCATCAAAATTTTTGTTCTGAGCTGAAGGTCGTGGTTTTCCAAAGCCCTTTGTCTCAGTCTTGAGAAGGCTTGGCTGGCATAACTGAGACAATAATGTATTTCAATATCAATGTTATGCTTTGGAGGAGAGATGGCTGCCAAGATATGGCAAGTGTTCCACATTATGGAGTCTGGTGTTGTCTACAGCGATGGATGGGGACAGAGCAGGCATACTTTGCTGGGGGTTGATAGAGGATTTGGGTCTTTTTTATATTAAGGGCCAGGCCAAGCTGCTCGTATGCTTTTGCAAACACGTCCAGCAGGCTCTGTAGGTCGTATTCCGCGAGGGCACTAAGGCGATGTCATCGGCAAACTGCAGTTCAGGGATGGACGTGGTGGTAGTTTTGCTTTTACCACTGAATCTGTTAATGTTCAGAAGTGTGATGTAGGCTAGTAGTCGCAGTACTCTGATTTATTTGTCAGGGCAGCAGCCTATTTTTGTCAGGACTAGCCAGAGGGCCTGGCGGTTCATGGAATCAAAGGCTTGGTTAGGTCAGTAAAGGCCGTACCGTGGTTGGTTCTGTCCCTAGGCTTTATCTTCGAGTTGGCAAGTGGTAATAATCATCTCCATTGTGCCTCTGTAAGATATCTGTTAGCTGAGACCCTGGCCAGAGATCTTTCCCGGGACACCTCCTTAACAAAAGGTGTGTGTGTGTGTGTGTGTGTGTGCGCGCGCGCGGGCGGGCGGGCATGCGTGCGTATATCAAGTCGGAAGCTTCCGGTCTACAATATGAAGCCGATGCGGAAGTCCCTGAAACCTGCATTCCACTGAAAATCCTGCAGGGGGCGACTCTTGACTCTGGTTGCAAAAAGAAGTCTGGCTCCATTAGAAGTAATGGGAAAATGACCCTACTTCTCAGCTGAAGTACCCCAGTAAACACTTTCCTGATGTGTTTATGGTCTCAGTTGCTAGTTTCAAGTCTTCTTCAATACAAAATGATGTTCATTTAGTAAATTATGGCCCCATTTATTTTAAAATAGACCAAAAAGCAGAGTATGTTTCAGGGCGGGATTATCTGACAAGTTGACAAGTCGTTACTATGGGAACCTGTCAATCAGGCTGGAGCAGACTCGTACCCTCGGCCCTGTGTAAATTTAACCAGCACATTTAGATTTAAGACTGTTGTTTGCTAGACAAAGTTATCAGCCCTGTTAAAATGACGTTGATGTTAACGTGAATTACAGA